CCAGAGTACAAAATATATAGGAATGACAGAGTAGGTCATGCTGGTGGGGGAGTGGCATTATATGTGGAAGAAAGCATAGAGTCAAATATAGTTAAAATCTGAAATGAATCAAAATGTACTATAGAATCTCTCTGGATAGAAATTCCATGCTTGAATAATAAGAATATAATAGTAGGACTATACTACCAACTACCTGACCAGGAGGTTGATTGTAAAATGATTAGAGAGAGAGAAAGATTAGAGAATCGAAAACTCAATAATAATGGGGGATTTCAACTATCCCCATATTGACTGGGTACATGTCACCTCAGGACAGGATGCTGAGATAAAGTTTCTAGACACCATTAATGAATGCTTCTTGGAGCAGCTAGTCGTGGAACCCACGAGGGATGAGAGGCAATTCTTGATTTAGTGCTAAATGGAGCATAGAGTCTTGTCTAAGAGGTGAATATAGCTGAACCGCTCAGTAATAGTGACCATAATGTAATTAATTGTAACATCCTTATGGGAGGGAAAATACCAAAGAATGCACAGTAGCATTTAACTTCAGAAAGGGGAACTACACAAAAATAAGGAAGCTAGTTAAACAGAATTTAAAGGTACAGTCACTAGAGTGAAATATCTGCAAGCTGCATTAAAACTATTTAAAAACACCATAATAGAGGTTCAAACTGAATATTCCCCAAATTAAAAAAAAAAAAACAAATTTAGAGGATCAAAAAAATATCACCATGGGTACACAGAGTAAAAGAAGTGATTAGAGACAAAAAGGCATCCTTTAAAAATTGGAAATCAAATCCTCCTGAGGAAAATAGAAAGTAGCAGAAACTCTGGCAAGTCAAATGTAAAAGTATAATTAGGCAAGCCAAAAGAGAATTTGAAGAGCAACTAGCAAAAGACACAAAAACCAACATCACATTTTTTTTAAGTATATCAGAAGCAGGAAATCTGCCAAACAATCAGTGGGATCACTAGATGATCGAGGTGCTACAAGAGCACTCAAGGAAGAAAAGGCCATGGCGGAGAAGCTAAATTAATTCTTTGAATCGATCTTCACTGCAAAGGATGTGAGGGAGATTCCCACACCTGAACTATTCTTTTTAGATGACAAATCTGAGGAACTGTCCCAGATTGAGGTGTCAGTAGAGGAGGTTTTGGAACAAATTGATAGATTAAACAATAGGAAGTCACCAGGACCAGATGATATTCGTCCAAGAGTTCTGAAGGAACTCAAATATGAAATATGAACTATTAACTGTGATATGTACCAGGTAGGATAGCTGGTAGGAGGGAGGATAGCTAATGTAACGGCAATTAGTAAACCTAACCTAAGTACAAAACAAATTGGATGAATCACAAGACACCTAAATGAACACGTTATTTATTTGGGAAGAGTCAACATGGCTTTTATAAAGGGAAATCATGCCTCACTAATAACCTTGTGGACCCCCCCTACAACTACCTTTTGGGCCAGGACCCCCAATTTGAGAAACACTGGTCTCCCCTGTGAAGTCTATATAGTATAGAATAAAAGCACACAAAAGACCAGATTTCATGGGGGGAGACCAGATTTCACAGTCTTTGATGCGTTTGGCCGTGAATTTGGTAGGGCACTAATGATGGAGCTCTGTAAAATCATGAATGGTGTGAAAAAAGTGCATAAGGAAGTGTTATTTAGCCCTTCACATAACACAATAAGCATGGGGTCACCCAATTAAATCAATAGGCAGCAGGTTTAAAACAAACAAAGGAAGTACTTTTTCACACAATGCACAGTCAACCTGTGGAACTCGTTGCCAGGGGTTGTTGTGAAGGTCAAAAGTATAACAAAGTTCAAAAAAGAATTAAATAAGTTCATGGAGGAGAGATGCATCAATGGCTATTAGCCAAGAGGATTGGGGACACAACCCTTTGCTCTGGTTGTCCTAAGCTCTAAGTGACAAAAGCTCAGAGTGGATGAAAGGGGATGGATCACTCAATAATTACCCTGGTCTGTTCATTCCCCATGAAGCATCTGGCATTGGTCACTGTCAGAAGACAGGATACAGGGCTAGATGGACCATTGGCCTTGACCCAGTGTGTCCGTTCTTATGTTCTTATGTTGTATTGTAACACATTGGCTGGAGAAACAGCTGGGACGGGTCTAGGCAACCCATGTTGGGAGATGAATATCATTGCTCCCACCTCTCCATATTCCACCCACATAAACATTTAATATTCATACTTTATATAGGGAAGTGAATTTCACTTTCAGAGAGGTCAATTTAGGGTGGGATTTTCAAAAGTACTCAGCATTAGCCTAAACCTGCTTCCATTGAAATCATTGGAAGTTTACCAGTAACTCTAGGGGAGCAAAGCTGAGCTAATGCTATATATAACTTGAGTATTTTGTTTTATTTTGCCTTGGAAATTTTTTCTATTGTCAGACTCTTTGTTGGAAAGTATTTTTCTTTACTTTATATAAAGTAAGATTTTGTGGTTATTTTTTTCTTAGATAAAAAACTGTTAATCTAAACTGGAAAATCCCATTTCCACTGGAGTTTAAAAAGCCTATTAGCTCCCTCCTGTGAGGCATTGGAATATTACAAATGTCTCACTCCTCATCCTTTTGCTACCCATAACTCGCTCTCTCTCTGTAGTTCTGTATGCATTCCCAGATGAACAAAAGCTTTATTAAGCTGAAGTTAAAAAAAAAGAAAACCTCAACACCTTAAAAGGCTATTGTAGTTTTCTCACAAGAACCACAAAAGTTTACTCCAGAAATTCAACAAGTTACAACTGACAAACAAACAAAACCTCCTTAGAAAGTATGGAAACACAGTGTTAGAGTCCCACAAAGAACTTTAGCTCTGCCTTTGTTCTCTGCCAGCCTCCCACTCTGCATGTCCATCACATCTGGTATTTAGGATGAAAACATATTTATAAAGAAAGTTTTGAAAAGGACTATTCATCCTGTTTCAGTGGATCCTAAATCTATTTTATTTGTACCGTTTGCCAGTAGAGTCAAGGAATTCAAGAATATGTGGCTTTGATACTCTATATATACTTCTGTGATACTTAAATGTGAACCTCTGCCCCAGTGATTTGGTTACCTAATTTTTGTTCAGGCTCTAAAATATGAATAGTCCCAGGTATGGTAACTATCAGTCTATGCTTAGTCTCACAGCATGAAACTTTGTAACAGTTAAAATCCGATATACTTTTGGGACATTTTCCCAAGCCATTGTCCCAAATATGGTCTCTCTTGGTGATAAGCTGTAAAAGTCTGTCTCTATCTCTCCTGTAACTGAGCATGGTCTTAAAGAATGGAGGAGTAGTTTGATGTAGCAATATAAAGACAGACACACTTTGATTTGAATGCTTTAGTAATGTACAATTAGTGTATCAGCAAGAATGAGGTAGTCCAGTTAGATCACTTCAGTTTTCAGAATCACTGATCCTGTGAAGTTGTGTATTGTGTGGAAAGGACTGTCTTCTTATTTTCATTCGCTCTGTGGGCAACGTGATACAGGTCCAAATGTTAGGTAGTTTGGATGACCTTAACTTCATTATGTTACTTTCTCATTTTCTTTTTAATTTTAAACTGAATATCAACTGTGATTTTCCAGACTAGCTAATATTTGTGGTTTTTTAAAGTTATGTTTCTTTAGGTTTGTTTCCTTAAATAATTTATAGTTTTGTGCAACTTTAGCTCCCGTGTTAGCTACATTTCTCCCCCACTCCCGTAACTATCTTGGATTTTTTTTTCAATTGAATTCTTCAGTAACAGGAATCTCGTGCTACATGGGGATAAATTTCACTTTTCCCTTGACCAGTGGTTCTCAACCAGGAGTCCAGGGCCCCCTGGGGGACCGCGAACAGGATTCCGGGGAGCTGCCAAGCAGGGCCAGCATTATACTCACTGGGGCCCAGGGCAGAAAGCTGAAGCCCAGGGCCCTGAGCCCTGCCATCTGGGGCTGAAGCCAAAGCCTGAGCAGTGTAGCTTTGTGGGGGTCCCTGTGGCATGGGACCCCAGGCAAATGCCCTGCTTGCTACCCCCTCACACCAGCGCTGGCTTTTATATGCAGAAAACCAGTTATTGTGGCACAGATGGACCATGGAGTTTTTATAGCATGTTGCGGCGGGGCCTCAGAAAGAAAAAGGTTGAGAACCCCTGCTCTAGACTGCATTGCGCTTTCCCATATGGTTCACTCAGCACTTGAGAGGATTGGGTCTTTAGTTTGTAAGCAATTGAGGCAAGGATTGTTTCTTCCCAAAGAGTGTTTTGTGCAGTGCCAGCTACACTGGTGTTTGCTATAACAAGTACAAATGGACTGCTGGAGGACCATGTGAGCTGCCAGCTGGCCTCCCAAAGTGCTCAGCATGACTTCTTTTTGTGCACTGAGGTCTTGCTGATCCAGTCAGTCATGAGCCCACACTCTCCTCCCATTCCTTGTTATTAAGAAGATACTGAGCCTGATACCTTAGGAGAACTTCTGTTGATTTCAGAGGGCAGCTTCTGTCAAGCTGTCTGGCATTGGGAGAGCTAGTTCAGAAGACTTTAAAATGCTAGAAAAGCATCTACCCAAACTCTTTAAGTCTGAAGCTAACTGATTAACAACGTTGTTAACTGTTCATGTACACTCCCACTTTTCCAATGTTTTTAATGTTATTTTAAACAACTTTTTTGAGTTACAAAAGCATTTACTTCAAAAAACAGCCCAATTTTTTTTTGTAAACAGGGAAAAACATGGTTTTTTTCCCACACTCTCATATCTTCCAAGTGCTAGAAGAGATTTTCTTCAAGCTTTTTTTAAAAAAATGGTTCATCTTTCATCTTTTACTGAACACTGATTTGTTTCAGGAAGTTATAAGCAAGTGATAGCATGGAATTATGCTCTGATTAGTTATGCAGCATTAACTATAGCAATTGGAGTGACCATATTATTATAGGTAAATCAGATACATTAAGTGATGCATTGGGGGAAAAAAATCTTGGTTTGTGCTTTCATTTGTTCCAGAATGGCATTCTTTCTGGAGGAGGTGATGATTTGTACTAAGCGCCTGCTGGAGGTGATTGCTGGCTGGCTGCCTCGACATTTCATCGGTGCAATCCTAGTTTCCCTCCCGGCTCTTGCAGTTTTTTCACATTTCACCTCTGACTTTGAAACCAACATACATGTAAGTTATAGGACAATGTATCCTGTCTAACTTTCTTTTAGATTTAATGGAGTAGATTGCCTCTCTCCTTGTCTTCTCCCCTTCCCCATTCCCTTCATCTATGTGATCTATATCTCTCAAGAGGATAGGACTGATTCTGTAAGATGGTATTGCTAATAGAATGAATCAGTTTTTTTACAAGCATTACCTTTAGGCAGAATTTAATGTAAATACATTTGAACACATCTTAGGAATTTTTCACTATATTAAAGGATAATTTCTGAGCGGGAATTCCTCCTTATCCAATGAGATGCTGAATATCCCTAAGGACTTGCATGGCTAATTGCTGAAGTTCAGCAGCAGTAATGGTATTAGCAGTGGATTGTGTCTGTCTGTCATATCAACAGCAATGCTGTGTTTGCACACTGTCAAAATAGGTGGAATATTTTCAGCAGCACAAAAACTATTAGTCCTCTTCTAAATGGCCCTGTAGCTCTTTTTCTCTATGTAATTTGGTGAAGTTTCCAGCATATTAAAGCTATATTTTCTTTCATTTAAAGGTGAATGTTTTCCTCATTGAACCAATTGTAGAACTGTGGGCCTGTAACAGGGTGTGACACCCACAACAGCACCAAAAGAGTTAAATGCATCTGAGAGGGTTGGTAGTCTCACTGTTTGCACCTGGGGAGGGGATGGATTTAAAAGAGGAGATAGAAGGTTAGTTGGAGAGGAGGAGAGGTAGGAAAGAGAATATAATGAATTCCCTCTCTCTGGGCAGGGGCCTGTTAGAAGGCTAAGAAGGCTGGAGGAAAGAGAAGCAGACAGTCTGCTCTGGAGATGAGCCTAAGGGACAATCGGGGAGACGCTGAGGGACAATGGCCTGCCTGAAACCCTGGGAAGGTGGAGAACTGTGCCAGTTCTAGACTGTGTTAGGGAGTGAGGCACAGCAGACTGTGTATAGATTGGAAGATCACACATTTGGTGTTAGGAGTCGTATGAGAGCAGATTAGTACCCCTGGAACTGAGTGGAACTGTGGAACTGGTATTCCAGAGAATAGAAGATCAGATGGTACCAACCATTCTTCCTGAATTATGCAGAGGCAACTGGCTGTGTTCAGGGAGCAGCAACAGGCGGCAACAGTCCTCAAGGTTGGGGGACTGGAAAGGAGTATAGAAGAAACTGCAGGGACTGGTAAACTGAGTCACACCCCAGTCTGTTTTGTGGGACTACAGGAAGATTGGTGAGACAGGCAGTGGAAGTGGTCTGCCCAGCAGTAGACAGTCTGGGGGTGATGATCAAAGTTAAGTTGAGACAAGGAAACCCTGAAATAAAGGGTGGTTCTACTTGCAGAGTTTCAGGATGGTGTAAGAAGGCAGACCCTGTCAAGAATTGTAGGAAACTCTGGGTAACTTTGTGTGGATAGTCCTGGGGAATTGGCAGAATTAATAACCTGAACAGAGTTTTTCAGAAACTCAAAATCTGCAATTCAGGCAGGGGAACTGAAGACACCTGGGATTACACTTTTGACTGCTGGAGAACAGCCTGTCCTATATAGGGTGACAGAACCCAAGCAACACAGGACCTGAACCTGAAAGGTGCTGAGCACCTTCAACCCTTTTTGACTTCTGTTTGTCTTACATAGGCCCATTCCCTATAGTACTTGAGCACCTCCTACATATTTTTAAAATACAGTAACTATAACAATGGAATTTGTGGGTGCTCAGCCCCTCTCAGTTTCAGGTCATATGTGCTGAATGCCCCAAGTAGTAGCAAGTAAGAATGGTATTCATTACACAATTGTTCATGCACTACCCTTTTTTTTTCCTGTTTCAGTTCCCCTAGAGTTATTGGGTTGTTGATTCACTCACCAAGAGATGTTCCAGCTGGCCCTGTGCTCGGTGATGTTGCAACAATCATGGAGCTCTGGGGAAAGGGAACCAGTCTGTAGAGGGTCAGGTAAGTGACATATTTTACTATGACATGGTTTTGCAAAGTTTTTTTATTAATAGCATTCTATACCCTCCCCGGATGTAAAATAATAATAATAATAATTAAAAAAAAAAACTTTCCAAAGCCATGCTTACGTAGTAAAACACGACACTTACTGACCCTCTATAGGCTGGCTTCATGATGGGGCTTCACTTGAAGTCAGAACCAGTGCCCTGCCACTTTACGAGACCTGAAATGGGGGAAAAAATAAATTTAAACCAAGTTGTGTGTGGAGGTTTTTTTTAAATTCAGCTTAGCTATTCAGTTATTAAAACATGGAAAAATTGTGGTCATGTTTTAAAAAAATGTAAGTAAGTTATGTAAGTTTTACTAGTTTGCCTGTTGTGGATAAACTGTTTTTCTAATTGTAATGTGGCCTTGCTATTCTGTTCAACTGTTGTTGTGCCCCAGAAAACATAATAAAGCATTCCAAATTTTCAACTTGTAAAGCAAAGCAATGGTGTTCCACTCCACTCACAATGGAAAAGATTATGGCCACCAGAAATCATAAAGAGCAGTATAGTTAATGCTACTGAGAATAAGACCTGCAGTACAATTTTGTGGAGTTCTCTATTTTAACATTGGATCTTCATTGATTTTCTTAACACAGTCCTACTTAGTACATTACGTAAGCCGGACTTTAGCATTTGCTTATTGCAATATTGCATTCTGGGGAAATTAAGATATGTCTCAGAAAGCATGTGCTTTGCACTTCAATTTACCTATCTAGTAAAGACATGAAAAGGGAGGTTTTCTGAGATTCTTGGATTTGAGACCTGGAACAGAAAGGAAAAATGGAGAACTACCCCTTCAGCTTGGCACAAATACCAATTTCACAGAGCATCAATTAACATTATGTTAAACTTCTGCCCACTTCTGTTCCTCAAAGGAATAATTATCCACGTTGAATTCAGCACTTAGTGGAATAATAATATCCTGCAAAATATATTATATGGGCCAGCCAATTTGACAGAGTTTCTGGGACTCAACACATGTTATGTTTTCAACCCGAAAGTATAATTTGATATCCAATTTAAAACACAGGTGTGATTTAATGAGAAGCCTTAGGAGCATAATTGAGTATATGATGGTATCTATGAATGCTCAAACTCAATAGGAGGAAGTGAGTACTTTACAAAGGTGAGCTGAAGATGGAATTATAAAAAAGTAAAACTGTACCTCAGAACTCCAGCTAATGAAAATTGTGACACATTATCTGTGGTAGAAGCTTTCTTGCTTATTGGAAGCAAGAACTTTTCTAGACTTGTAGTGCTGTTTGCTGAAATTTATACAAAGGTATCAGAGTTAATTGAAAAGACAATATACTTGTTTATTTAATGTATGGATCATTTTTATTTAAATAGAAATTGTGTTCTCACCATTCAGATCATTGAATGCCTTTATTTAAATTGGTAACTATTTGTGTAGGGACTCTAATGGAAAAGAAAAGGCTAACTTGTCATTCTTTCTGTTCATTGCAGTATACCATGTTTATGTGTTGTGCGATTCTCATCACCATTGTCCAGTACTGTAACTTCTGCCAGCTGAGCTCCTGGATGAGATCATCATTGGCCACTATTGTAGGAGTGGTGCTCCTCATCTTGCTCTACATCTCTTTATGTCCAGACAGGTGAGTATTGCATGTTATCACTGGAGGCAAGGTATCGTGAGCTGCATTTTGCCTCAGGATTAACTAGTTCAGTCCCAAACAGGAAATGTTCATTCCTGTGGAGAGTGGTACAGACAGATGGATTGGGTCCTGTTCTCTGTTGGTCAGATAGAGAGGTGCCAATTTGAATGAAGCATATTTGCACATGGTTCTGCCCCTTCCTCTGGTCCCTGTAGGTGGGTTTTGCAGTTTGTTTCCTGCCTTGCTTCAAGAAGCCACTCGTGTCTCTGGCTGATCGGCCATCTTGGCTTATTTTTTCCTTGCCCTAGCCCAGTGTTTCCCAAACTTGGGACACCGCTTGTGTAGGGAAAGCCCCTGGCAGGCTAGGCCAGTTTGTTTACCTGCCACATCCGCTGCTCCAGGCCAATGGGAGCTGCTGGAAGCTGCACGGGCCGAGGGACATACTGACCTGGAGCAGTGAACTGCAGCCAGTGGGAGGTGCGATCAGCCAAACCTGGATTTCTCCATCATTGCCATCTTACAGATCCATCTGGGAGGAGAGCTTCATGATTTCTAGGAAGATCAGTCTCAAATACTAGAATCCCTTTCCTTTAATCTCTTTGAAAGTACCCCACCCTTGCAAGTGATCCATTATCAGCCAGCTTTTCCCTCCTCCCTCCTGTTTAGAATGCTCTAATCTCGGAAGAAACTTCCAAGACATGCTCTGGTTTTTTTTGTCCTCATCCCCTCTTGAATTCTGTCCAAGGATTTATTTTTGGCTTTGGGTGATGAGAGATCCCTGTATCTGACTCTGCAGCTTGTCCTTGAGGAGTGGTGGAGATTCCTATCTTTAGCAGGAACCTTCATGACCTCTTCCGTCTATTTCTCCCTCATCACAGAATCCCAGGATCTTGTATAACCACTTGAAGAATGGGATTATATTGTCTCCCAGACAATTCAAGCTTTTGATTATTTCCCATGTTGAGCAGTCAGCTCCTAATGAGGAGATTGTTTCTTGCAAGGCAGTTAGTTAGGAGAGTGTCCTTCCCATCAGCCATCCACACTGTTAAAACTGTACATTCTCAGCAGCTTACAAAGCTTCTTACTAGGGCTGTCAATTAATCACAGTTAACTCACACGATTAACTCAAAAAATTAATAATGATTAATCGCACTGTTAAGCAATAGAATACAAATTGAATTTTATTAAATATTTTGGGATTTTTTCTACATTTTCAAATATATCGATTTCAATTACAACACAAAATACAAAGTATATAGTGCTCACTTTATATTATTTTTATTACAAATATTTGCACTGTAAAAATGATATACAAAAATAGTATTTTTCAATTCACCTCATACAAGTACTGGAGTGCAATCTCTTTATAATGAAACTGCAACTTAAAAATTAAGGGTTTTTTGGTACATAACTGCACTCAAAAACAAAGCAATATAAAACTTTAGAGCCTACAAGTCCACTCAGTCCTACTTCTTGTTCAGCCAATCGCTAAGAGAAACAAGTTTGTTTACATTTACAGGAGATACTGCTGCCAACTTCTTAATTACAATGTCACCTGAAAGTGAGAACAGGCGTTTGCATGGCACTGTTGTAGCTGGTGTCGCAAGATATTTACGTGCCAGATTCGCTAAAGATTCATATGCCTCTTCATGCTTCGGCCATCATTCCAGAAGACATGCTTCCATGCTGATGATGATTGTTAAAAAAATAACGCGTTAATTAAATTTGTGACTGAACTTCTTGGGGGAGAATTGTATCTCTCCTGTTCTGTTTTACCTGCATTCTGCCATATATTTCATGTTATAGCTGTCTCGTATGATGACCCAGGACATGTTCATTTTAAGAACACTTTCACTGCAAATTTGATAAAACGCAAAGAAGATACCAATATGAAATTTGTAAGACAGCTACAGCACTCGACCCAAGATTTAAGAATCTGAAGTGCCTTCCAAAATCTGAGAGGGACAAGGTGTGGAGTATGCTTTCAGAAATCTTAAAAGAGCAAGACTCTGATGCGGAAACTACAGAACCCAAACCACCAAAAAAGAAAATCAACCTTTTGCTGGTGGCATCTGACTCAGATGACGAAAATGAACATGTGTTGGTCCGCACTGCTTTGGATCGTTACTAAGCAGAACCCATAATCAGCATGAACGCATGTCCTCTGGAATGGTGGTTGAAGCCTCAAGGGACATATGAATCTTTAGCGCATCTGGCATGTAAATATCTCGCGACGCTGACTACAACAGTGCCACGAAAACGCCTGTTCTCACTTTCAGGTGACATTGTAAACAAGAAGCAGGCAGCATTATCTCCCATAAATGTAAACAAAATTGTTTGTCTGAGCGATTGACTGAACAAGAAGTAGGACTGAGTCGACTTGTAGGCCCTAAAGTTTTACATTGTTTTATTTTTGAATTCAGGCTTTTTTTGTACATAATTCTACATTTGTAAGTTCAACTGTCATGATAAAGAGATTGCATTACAGTTCTTGTATTAGGTGAATTGAAAAATACTATTTCTTTTGTTTTTTACAGTGCAAATATTGGTAATAAAAATACATATAAAGTGAGCACTGTCCACTTTGTATTCTGTATTGTAATTGAAATCAATATATTTGAAAATGTAGAAAACATCCACAAATATTTAAATAAATAGTATTCTATTATTAACAGCGCGATAAATGGCGATTAATTTTTTTAATCGCTTGACAGCCCTACTTCTTACCATGAACTTTGGCTCTCTTGTCCTAATGTGTAACTTGGTAGTGGCCTCTCGCTCTAGACCATTCTACCTCCCACTGGAGGCCAATATTTTACGTCCTTTTCAGAGACTTCCTGGACCACACAGTGCAGGAAGCTGATGGCCAGGCAACATGCTCATCAAAGCAAGTCCCCTCAAGAAGCATCTAAGGCATTCTCCACCTCTCTGCTGAGGTTCTTAAATCTGGGTCTAGTAAACAAAAGAAAATTTCCTTAACAGACCCTCCTTTGCTCAGAAGTGGACACCAGTGCTATGGGAGGAAAAGTCTGCCCCCTTTGGAAAGAACTCAGAACTGGAGTCAACCATCAAGACAGCATTAAGCAGTCATCTTCTCTTTCTCTCATTCTGCAAGTCACTGATTGGAATGTGGATAATGTTCTAAAATGTGGTTCCTTGCATATATTTTTATTACAGAACTTTTCAACAGTTTCTACTGAAAGCCGTCCAGGTAGCATGGGAGAATCTGGAAACACTTCTTCAAGTCCCAGTAGCTAGTGGATGGATCAATCAAACACTCCTTCAGGATCTGCCCTGGATATCATCACAACTGATGCCATTTTCTTGGATTTCAGCGGCTTATTGATCACTTTTTGTCACTCCAGGTGTGGTGGTTGAACTTCATTCCATTCCCTTTCACATCCTCTCCTGGAAAGTGGTTTTTAAGAAACCATTACCTCAGTTCATTGTGTGGGGATGTTAGTGCCCCTTTCCTGTAATTTCCCCTAACTGATTTTTTTTTATGAGGGAAAAATAGTTCTTTGCTCCTGTCCCAGCTTTTTGCCTGAGTTGTAGCCTTCCTCATTAACAAGATCTCTCGTCCAAGTTTCTGACTTCACCACAAGGCACAGATGAATTTCTTATACTCTGGTGCAGCCTAGAAAGAAATCCCATTACCTAGTCATCCTGTTCCAAGGTCCCAATAACGGACAAAAATCCTCTAGTTTTACAGTCTCTGGATGGATCTGGCTCTGCAGTGCACCTGTTCAGTGACAGACTTCTTGTGCTGTCCTTAGATTAGAATGATCAATTGTTTCCCATTCCTGAGCAGAAACAGGGCATATATCCATGGATGAACTGTGCCGTGGTGTTACCTGGGATTGGTACACACCTTCCTCGAGTACTGTCCCTTTGACCCCTCCTCATTACCCAGGTGTTTAGTTTCCTGACAGCCTTAATGGAAACAATCCAGTTACTAATTTCTGGTTCCTTCTCCTCTCACCTTCGATCTCATCTCACTCTTGTTCTTTCTTTAGTCCAACTATTGGTTTCTTCTGGGGGTGCTGCAACCCATCTGTCTGGGGGTGCTGCAACCCATCTTCTGGGGGTGCTGCAACCCATCTGTCTCTGCCAGTGGCAATCTCTCCGTGAGAAAATCAAGTTTCTTACCTGTTAACTTTTTTCTGTAGTACAGTGGCAATCCTACAGACCCCCTAGCTTAAGGCCCACCTGGGCTTTGACTTTGGCTGAGAAGTTAGTGTTAGGGATACGGTAGGATAATCTAATTTGCTCATAACTCTAGATGTCATCGCACTGGAAAGTGGGCCTGCAAAAAGCAAAAGTTTCTTAGCCGGGGTGGAAAATGTTTCATTCTGATTGGCATTTCCTGGCTGATTGATTGTGTCAGGTCACATCCCATTTGTCTATTTTTGCCAAATGCCATGGGTATAGACAAATGGGATGTGACCTGACACAATCAATCAGCCAGGAAAAAAATTTAAAGGTAAGAAACTGGATTTTATGTCTAATTCATTATTTCTAGTCTTCTAGAGAAAATTCCAGGTGCAAATAGCTGGTCAGATTGTATCCAAGCACTACAGAGTTATAACTTCTCCTGCTCCCCCTACATCTCAGCTGAGTGCATGGATTGCACAAGGCTCATGTTACTAGCCATTCCAAAAGGCTGGGGCGACATCCTCACCCACGTATCAGCCAACACAGTCAACTTACACTGCACCCTCTTCGGGGAGTGGGGGGAGGGTGTTCATGACAGATTCCCTTGGTGTGTTAGGGTGTGTCCAGGAAACACCATGTCTCTGGAGTTTCTGTTGGGTGGGTTGTCTCCAAGCTCCCTCCAGCACAGGCCTATGCCTACAAGGCACAATCAATTATAGTATATTTTGTCCTGTGTTTTGTAAAGCAGTGACCGTTAATGGACAAAGTACAGTAACTGCAGAACATTTTGTCACTTTATTTTATAAAGAGAAATTCATATCCAAAGTAATACACACCCCTATACAATCCTAGATCTAGCAAAACAATGACTAGAAGCAACAGAAAAACAGAACATGAAGACTAAATCACAGCTCCCAAGAGTTTTCATTTGAAAACCTTAGTAATAGCTAGTTTTCTTGCAATATCTACGGTGTTAATCATGCTTTATTGCCACAGTATTGGCAATTCTTCATACACTATAGACAGACCCATTGTTGCACATTTATTTTTTAAACAGTAACTTGCTGGTGGTAGTTGTTCTTGGCACATGTAACTGAGCACTGTGTGCCTGGCTGTTCTTTATATTAATTGCTGATAGAAGAGCCTGGAATGCAAAATTCAAAGCCTCTCTGAGTTGTTCTTCTGTAATGGCATCTTCATAAAGAGGCTATTTTTCCTCTTTTGCCACTTTTTACAGAGTTGATCCAATGAGACTGGGAAGTAATTGCCTTTCAGTGTTCTTAACACACTCCTCCATGTATCTCCAGCTAAGTGTGAGGGTTGGAACTGATCTGAAAATGGCTTTTTCCAGCCATTGCCTTGACTACATTACCTCCAGTTACTCTTAGCTGGAGAAACTTGGATCATCGTCTCTATGCTTCTGCCACTCCCAAGCAAAAGTTATTGCTGAGGGCTTGTCTACATCACGCAGCTTTTAGCGACAAGGCTGTGTCGACACAGCCTTGTCGCTAAAAGTCAGCATGTGTAAATGCTCTTTGTCGGTACTTTGTCAGCACTTTTGCCGACAAACTACTTCCAGTCCCGCGAGTGACGTTAGTTTTGTCGGCAGGAGAGCGCTTCTGCCAACAAAGCCACGTTCACACTGCCACTTGCATTGGCAAAACTTTTGTCTTTTGTGGGGGGGCTTTTTTAAGCACCCGTGAAAGACAAAAGTTTTGTCGACAACTTCGCAGTGTAGACATACCCTTCAGTCACATTCAAGAAAAGTTTGTCTGGAATTCAGGTGCAAAACAGATTACTGATCATAGTCCCTTACAAACAAAAAAGTTCAACTGAACTAATCTGAAGTATTGTCAGGTTGCTTTGCGTAATGGTCTTGTTTTCTTTCTAATGTTTTAATACCTTTATATTTCAGCTCCACTGAAACTTCCCACCTAGATTCAGTACAGAACTTTAGGTAAGCTTTACATACAGTGCCCATCTCTACTATGTTATGGAAAACCTCTTGTTTCATTCCTTTTTTTCAACATTATCTTTTACAAAAAGTTGTGTAAACTAGATAAAGTATAGCTTTAAAATGTTTGTATGAAAATGTGTTTTCAGTCAAATGTATGTAAAAAAACAAACTTTGGGTGCACAGCAGCATACAGGGATTCAACAAGTTGTGTCTGTGCTATGTGAGTACGCAGGAGAGCAAACTAACTCTACAAATGCATAGAAGGAAATCAACAAAGTTGATGCTAATATGTGAAATGCTCCCTTATTTATATGATTTTCTAAGAAATCGAGAGTTATTGTGGCAGATAAATTATAGTATTTGTTTTTCTAGTGGTAACTTCTTTTATTTTCTTTTTTAAGTACTATGCACAGATCATGGGCCAGATTCTTTCCCTCTGTCCTGTCTGCTTTGTGCCACTCAGCAGTACATACTATGGGGAGTCCTTAGCTGGCTCCTACACCAACTGTCCCCAACTCCAGTTTAGAGAGTTTGTTGGAGACAGTGTAGAGCACAGCTGCAGTCTGCCAATTCATAATTGGCAAGTGGTCCCGTGGGCACTACAGCCAGCTGCTGTAATTTAGAGTAGCTCCAGACTCAACACATTTGACAGCATAGCCCCCTGTTTTTAAACAAAGCCTGTGTTATTAATGACCCCTTAGAAATTGAAAATTTCATAGATGCAGTTTACTTGTCACTATTTCACTGTGGTCAACTCCCATGATTTTATCGCAAGTTGCTGAATAAAACAACTGCTTTCACTGAAGTTAGTAATTGTGGAAACATTTCTTCTGGGCTTGGGTTTTCTAAAAGTATGACGCTCTCTTTGATTTAACTAGTGACTATGTAAACATATTATCAAATAGTAGCTCCAGGAAGAAGTGTGTTCTGAAGATCACTGCTCTTCCTTGGAGTATATATTATAGGAAAATTACATTGCTCAGTTCTTCTCTACGTGAATGCAGTCATAATTTCAAAGAATGTATGCATTTTTCTGAGGTCTGAGGATGGTAGTTGTGCTTTCCAATTCTAGTATAGGATTAATTTATTATGTCTCATATTGCAGGGATTTTTGAGCATTTTTGTGTGTGTGTGTGTGTGTGTGTGTGTGTGTGTGTGTGTGTGTGTGTGTGTGTGTGTGTGTGTGTGTGTGTGAGAGAGAGAGAGAGAGAGAGAGAGAGAGTCATTAAATATACCATTATTTTTAAACTGGAATTATAACTTGGACAAGCTATAAGCCAAGCTACTACAACAGACTATACATAAATTTAAAACTGAACATATAAAGGCATTGTGACCAATGAAAAATAATGTCATAATATTTTCCTCAGCTTGGGTCTTCCTTATTAGTTCATGGAATTAGGCAGGCACTTCTGTAGCTCAAAACTGCCAGTGGCTTCCAGATAACTATTCATGAGCACTAGAAAACCTAGCTGGCTGTTAATCATTTAAAAATAATTCTGATTTGTGTAATCAAGGGCAAGCATGACTTCATTTTAGTGACTAATCTTATACTTGCAATGGTCCTACAAATAACAAAGCTAATAGCCAGAGAAAATATCCTAGTATGAAAGTATTTTACTTTTGAAATTATAACAGTTCACTTATAGTTGATAGATAAAGATAGGAACAGATAATAATGCTGAGATTTTCAAAGGAGCCTAATGAAATTAGGCATCCAAACCCCAGTGGAATTCTACAGAAGATGGACACTTAATTCACTTGATTTCCTTAATGAGTCCCAACCTAAAGATGTAAATATTGACTGATACAGTGACCAAAATACATGTCACATCAAACACTTGTATGCTCTACAATCTCATCAACGTTCTTACCATGAGGAGTTTGTAGTTATATTTTTTTCCAAATGATCATTACTTTACTGAAAAATATAAGTGTGTGTTGTCGCGTGTGTGTGTATATATATATATGTGTGTGTGTGTATGTCTGTATTAGACACCTTATGCATGCTTGTGAACATATTTGCTCTTTCTCTATAAGGTGTGTGACAGTTTTAGCAGGCGTTGCTTGGTTGGCTGTCATCTTAAATTTAAATTTGGAAACCTATATAAACGCAATAGGAAGTTTGCAAAAGTGCAAACTGAGGACACACATAATTGAATAGTGGCACTGAAAATCGGCATAGTTTTTAGATATGATCTGTTGTAAAGATACAGAATTGTGAATTAATTCTATTACCATCTCTGCCACAGATTTGCTGTGCAATCTTACTTACATTTTCAGCTTTTTTATTTATTTTTTGTTTTGTTTTCTGTTTTCTGTTTGAGTTCTAGTATTTTGTATTAATTAGGGCTTCCCCTCGCTCCAGGTGATTGGAGACTGATGAATCAATAAGAAGCTGAGATCCTCCCTAGGAGAAGTTATTGTTGTCTCTATTCTCACTTAACTGTCAGCACACAGACTTTTTCTGTGTTCTGCTGGTGGATTTGTAACAAGTGTACCTGGAGGGAGACCTTTCCCCTTTTGTTTTGCTTGACCGAGAATTAAGATCTTTATTAAAGTGGTATCAAAACAGCTACCATCTGTGAAGTCTCAGCACATAAGCTCTTCTAAGATTTGGTCAACACATAGCTTTTTTGCACCTGTGCAGCTAAATCAGTACATCAGATTTGCCTCATTGCTTTCCAATAGAAGGCACACCATTGCTTCTTGTGTCCCATGTAATCAAAACAAGATGCTGTTAAACAAATGTCCTCCCAGTAAGAGTCAATACTCTCCCTGCCTCAAAGCAGATAGTATATTTTTTTCTCCACTGTTCATAGTTCCCAAATGGAATGATGGATAGGCCTTTTGAGATAGAGACTCAAATCTGCCTTGTGGTTTAGAAAAAACTCACACCCCTACTTTTCTTCCCCCACCTTTACCCTCCAAAAATTTTTCTAAATGGAGTTCCTATGTCCAGTATCTTCTATACTTGCATCAGGGTATAAAATAGAGTGTTCACACCATCTCTGTCCATCACCCCAGGATGCTTAACATCTTATATGTGTAGCAGCATCCCATTTACAATATCTCAGATTCTACATGATTCATCAAAAATTCCAATGCACAGCTCTATTGGTCTCCTCTCTTTTTCTCATTGTTCAGCCCTTGTATTCTCTCCAAAGATCTAGTTGTTATGCATCTGCTTTATATATAGGAAAATACAATTTGAAACCCAGATTACTAGCTCCTAGGGAAAGTGTCTTTCCAAGAACCTCTGCTATAAGGAGAAAGCCATTATGTTGCACAGTTTTTGTGATCAATCCAAAGGAAAGCTTCCTGGCTCCAGCTAAAGAATTTTCACAGGTGCTGTATTCAACACACAGAGAGGATGAAAATTCCAACTAACTTCTCAGGCTTTTGTGCCTGAAAGTATTTAAACTATTTAAACTAAGAGTCAGCTTGAGTTTTTTAAATTCACCAATTTTTAAAATTCCATTTTCTATTACTACACCCTTTAAACAGCCCTGAATTTTTTTGTATAAGTGCCTTTTAAAAAATTTGTAAGGCTTTGGTTTTGGTGGGGATTTTCTGCTTCTCGGTTGTTGCTTATAAAGGTCATTGTATTTCACTCTTGCTAATTACGCAATCATATTGTATTGTCAAATACACAATCTAAACAAACTAAAAAAAAGAAATATTGTTCCATTAACTTCTTGCAGCTATAGTTATGCTAGGTCAAAGGTGTTAGTTGTAACCATAGTAGGTGCAACATTTTCAGAGATTTGATTTTCAAGATGAGGGCATCACTTCAGTAATTTCCTCCTTCAGATTAGTTCTGTGGTTTTTTTGCATAGCTGATTCTCACTGTAGTCACAATGGGATGAAAAAAATCTGTGGTCTGGGAAAGGTCTTGTATCCTCTCATTTGAGACACACAGCTCCCTGCCTTGTGGATGAATTCAGTCATCTAAAGGGAATTCTCATGTCAGATCATGAGTGAATTGTTGTCATTACAAAAGTGAGGCGAGTATACAGGGACACCCATATTGGAAACAAGCTCAACCAAGTAGTTGAGGAACTGACAGATGCTCACATGTCAGCAAGTTAGAAAAGAGAGCAGTAAAGTTCTGTCTTAAAAGTCAGATCGTGTGCTCTACCAGTCTTGGTAGAGATTGCCATCACTCCTTTTCAGGGGGGTAAGTGTTTTCAGGGAGCCACTTGGTATGATGCCTCTGCTCAAGAAACCATCTCTGGAGTTGGATAAACTTGCCAACTACCCACTTGTATTAAATCTCTGGCACTGGATAAGCTTACTGAAAAACTTATGATGAAGAGACTCTGTTGGTAATCCCCAGTCAGTCTGAGTTTGGACCTGGTTTCAGAAAACGCACTGGCATTGTGTGGATCAGTGGTCTTCTCAAAGTGATTTGGGCTACACCCTGACACCACCCAGAAAATTACAGTTGTACAGAATGCAGCCACTTGCTTGTTCGGGGATGCTTCACAGAGGAAGCATATTATCTGCAGAGGCTGCCAGTGAATTTGTGAATATTGCTCTTGATCTGTACACACCCTAAAAGGTTGATATTGTGGCTAGTTGAGAAAATTGCCTATCTCCCCATAATAAGCTTCATAATAAGCCCCATCCTCCCCAGTTTCATTGTAAAGTGGCAGATTGTTCTCCATAAAGTTCCTCAGCTCTGCAGTTCTCGTCCTCCCTTTGTCCTAAATGTCTTCAAGACACCTCGCAAGGCTCATCTGTTTTCTCAGGTCTTTGGAGAAGGGGCAGGTTGAGGGATATAGATGGCCTGAAGCAGCAGTTTGTGTTCTATTATTGGTAGTTAAAAATTTTTTTCCAGGCTTGATTTCTGAATCAGGGATGCAAGAAGTCACTATAAATACAAAAATATATATTTAATAATTTTAAGAAGCAATATTATAAATATATATGGAAAGACAATATACTCCTCAAAGAGAACTTTAAAATTGTCAAGCATGGGCAGTATTTAGGCCAACAACTCAACCGGGTCCATTTAATTTAGTTCTAGTTAAATTTAGCATGAGAGAGTTCTACAGCATCAGCATATTTAATAGCAAATAAAAGTAGAATTTTATAACTACAGTTTGGTTTTAGTGAGGCATTTTTAACAATTGAGATTTAGAGATTAAGAAGTCATGAATCTGTATTTTAAAATGCCCATCTTTATTTTTCTTTTCCCCTGCACTGCCCCAGCTCTAGGAAGAATCCATGCAACAGTTCAGTGCTAAATGATATAAAGAAACCAGCAGACCGGATTGGCCAGGAAGTGATACTGGTTTTCTTTCTCCTGCTCCTTTTGGTTTGGTTTCTGAATCGGGAATTTGAAGTCAGTTACCGCCTCCACTACAATGGAGATGTAGAGGCTGATCTTCACCGCACCAAAATTCAGAGCATGAGGGATCAAGCTGACTGGTTGCTGAGGAATATTATTCCATATCATGTGGCGGAGCAGTTGAAGGTTTCCCAGAGCTACTCCAAAAACCATGATAATGGTGGAGTGATCTTTGCTAGCATTGTGAACTTCAGTGAATTCTATGAAGAGAATTACGAGGGGGGCAAGGAATGCTATCGAGTCCTAAATGAATTGATTGGGGACTTTGATGAGTTGCTCAGCCAACCACATTACAGCAGCATTGAGAAAATCAAAACAATTGGGGCAACCTACATGGCTGCCTCTGGATTGAACACTGCACAATGTCAGGACAATAACCATCCACATGGACATTTGCAAACCCTTTTTGAATTTGCCAAAGAAATGATGCGAGTGGTGGATGACTTCAACAACAATATGCTGTGGTTTAATTTTAAACTTCGTGTTGGCTTTAACCATGGCCCTCTCACTGCTGGGGTCATAGGCACCACCAAGTTATTGTATGACATTTGGGGTGATACCGTGAACATTGCTAGCAGGATGGACACTACTGGCGTGGAGTGCCGGATACAGGTGAGTGAGGAGAGCTACCGTATCCTAAATAAGATGGGATATGACTTTGATTATAGGGGGACAGTCAACGTGAAGGGGAAAGGTCAGATGAAAACCTACCTTTACCCAAAATGCATGGACAATGGGGTTGTGCCACATCACCAGTTATCTATATCTCCAGACATCCGGGTTCAAGTGGATGGCAGCATTGGTCGGTCTCCTACCGATGAGATTGCCAATCTGGTGCCTTCTGTACAGAATTCTGACAAGACATCCCAGGGCTCAGATAACAACTTAGAACCCAAGGATATGCTTCCATCCTACAAGAAGCTCCAAAAAGAGTCATTGAAAGCAGAAGACAGGTGCAGGTTTGGCAAAGCTGTAAAGAATGATTGTGAGGAAGCAGAAACTGAGGAGGTCAATGAACTGACAAAGTTAAATATCTCTAAGAGTGTATGATGCAGTGACAGAGAGCTGCATGATGTGCTCTGTCCATAGAAACACAAAGACATTTACAATTGGCTGCTTTCTTTTCTGAAGAAAGACGTTCTCAACACCTGGGTTATTTGTTTTCATATTAGCACCTGATGCTGTGTGGATCACAGTTATTCAGGGCTCATTTTCATCTATCTCTCCCCTCCATGCCCCTTAGCCCTCTTCCAAAACTCCCCAACTCCCTGTGTAACCCTCTTTCAGCTGAGTGGAGCATATTAAGTGCCTTCAGATATACTCCATTGGACTCCCTGTCTAGGTACAAAGGCCCCAAATAAAAACATAGCTTTGGGTATCTATTAATTTTAAAAGAAAAGCTGTGGTCATGATATCATTGTTATTGTTGTTTCTCACAAAACACTTTTTTGGCTAATGCAGCTCCTTGGGTTTTTTTTATATATATATGTGTGTGTGTGTAATATTTTACTGTTATCAGACCTTCTGTATGTAAACACACAGACAGATGTGCGTGTATCTACCGTATGAGACTGATATAAAAAGTGCCAGTAATGTACCACAAAATAATGTCGCTGAGATGAAGTAATACAGTTTTGCTTTTGTGTTAGGCAGGAGGATGAGCTGAGTTCTACAGTGGCTCAGCGTTTAGATGGAGCAGGCAGCACAGGTGTTGTAGTTTCACCCTCCTTTAACAGTGTTTTGATCAGATATGTGCCATTGTATGCTTAGGATGCACTGCTTTCCTTACATCCAATGGGTTATTGATATGTGGGGATGGATTAAGGGATCAGATTTCACCAGCTCTCAGGATAGGGTTCCAAAAACAAACAAGTAACCATTAAAGTTTTTACAATCCAGGTCTCAGGTGTTTAAAAAGCAGTTTTCATTTTACCCCCACCCCAAGGGATTTGTGAGGTTTTGAGTGAAGCTGATGCCTCTAAAACTGTTCTGATTTAAGAGAGGGGCGGTTAAATAAATGTTTTGGGGTTACATTTATTTATTTATGTATTTATTATTTTAAAATTTGTGTTTGTGGAAGATATTAGGATTCGTAGGGGTGGTAATTGGTGTCACTAAAATTAATCAGATGCCCATTAGTGCTTCATCCTCTTCAAACTGCCAACCACTGTGGGGACATTACCTAGGCAATACTTATGTCAAAATTGGTGATACTGCCAAAGCCACCAAATGCAGATTGAATCTGAAAATCCCAGCTTCCTTCCATACTGAATTAATGGTGCTGAACAATGTTCTTCAGGTTTTGCCCCTATGCTGTGCTTTTGCAGCATAGACATGCTTCCCATGTGCCATTTAAAGTAGGAATAGGAAGGTCTTTTGCCATGAGCTGAGAAGCACAATATTTCAGGCCTGAGCCTACAATTGACTGCGTGGGCAGACCCCTGTGCCTACAGAGAGGCTCACTGACGTCAGTGGGACTGTGCACAGGTGCCAGGGTCTGTTTGCATAGAGGCAGTTGCAGGATCAGGGCCTCAGACAACACTAGTCCCAGGGATTTCCCTACACCCTGCTTCCCCCTCACCCCCAATTGCCCCATCCCTCCCACAGTGGCAGTGTTGCCAATTTAGTCGTTTTCCAACCCCCCTCCCCCATAAATTCAAACACCTCCTCTAATTTCAATTCCTGGGGAAGACTCTGACTAGTTCTCCCTTTGCATACTTCCATAATTTTAACCCCTTTTCACTCAGTTTTTGACCAAGTGGATGACCCACTTCGGATAATATTAAATATTGCAAGGTTCCAATTTAAACAAATATTTCTTGTACCAACAAAATGACTATAATATTTCTGCCCAAAATAAATTCATCTTCCAAGGGAAATAGGTGATTGTGGGGAAATATAATACTGTTTTGTCTGCACAGTCATATTTTTTTAGTTATTTCTTTCCATCTTCAGTCCAAAAAAAATGACTTTAAACTGAAAGCTGAAAATAGTCACACCTACTGCTTTAAGAACGGCCATACTGGGTCAGACCAAAGGTCCATCTAGCCCAGTATCCCGCCTTCCGACAGTGGCCAATGCCAGGTGCCCCAGAGGGAATGAACAGAGCAGACAATCATCAAGTGATCCATCTCCCTTGTTATGTTCTTATGTCCTGTGTTGTTTACATGCCTTCTAGCATTAGAATATGTGTCCTGAGGTGGCTAAATCCTTTTTTCCTTTCACTTACTCTCTCTGATTTGATGGCCTCCACAATGCCCAGTGGTAAAAGTGGCATTTCTCTGCTGTTGAGTTCTTTCAATGTTAGCCGTGATCCATCAAAATATGCCCACAGCTTTTCTCTGATTGTACGATTGTTATACTCACCACAACAAGCCTGCACCTGTAAGAGGTTCACACATTGCAACTAAAAGTGAAAGAACAGCATAATCTAGGGATTCCAAGCATATTTATTTTGAACAGGAGCCAGGACTGAGAAAACCTTATCTCTAATTATTGCAATAATGCACAATTCAGTACAAAGATAGTCCTTTAGCTTACAAAATTAATAAAGCCAGCATGGTTGTTCATGGCTGTTACTACATGAGTATTGTTAGTCTCTTAGTACTATCTCATTAGAGTACAGTAACTCCTCGCTTAACATTGTAGTTATGTTCCTGAAAAATACAATTTTAAGCGAAACAATGTTAAGCAAATCCAATTTCCCCATAAGAATTAATGTAAATAAGGGGGGTTATATTCCAGGGAAATTTTTTTCACCAGACAAAAGACTATATTTATATATGTATAAAGACTATATGTATATATATATACACACACACATATATATACACAGTATAAGTTTTTTAAACAAACAATTTAATACTGGTACACAGCGATGATGACTGTGAAGCTTGGTTGAGGTGGTGAAGTCAGAGGGTGGAAGAGGGTGGGATATTTCCCAGAGAATGCCTTATTGCTAAATGATGAACTAACACTCAGCTGAGCCCTCAAGGGTTAACACATTGTTAATGTAGCCTCACACTCTACAGGGGAGCGCGAATGGAGGGAGGGGAGACAGCATGGCAGACAGAGACAGACGCACACCCCGTGTCTGTGTGTGTAAGAGAAAGAGATGCGCATTGCCTCTTTAAGTACACTGACCCCACTCTAAGTATACTGCCTTTTTAAGTAGATCAGCAAGTTGAGACAGCAGCTGCTGCCACGAAGCTCCCTCCATCCTGAGCCCTGTTGTGTCCCTATGCTCTATGGAGTTGGGGTAAGTGGGGTGCAGGGGAAGGGGGACACCCTGACATTAGCCCCTCTCTCCCGCCCCCGCACAGCAAGGCAGAGGGCAGGAGCAGCACATGGCAGTGGGGGGAGGGAAAGCTGAACTGCCAGCAATTGATAGGCTGCTGGGCGGCTGCCGCACAGGGAATTTAAGGGAGCAGGGAACTGATAAGGGGGCTGCCGGTCCAACCTGGTTCCAAGCCCCACCAGCTAGCTCCAACGGGCTGCTCTTCCTGCAAGCTGTGGACAAAGCAGGCGGCTGCTAGGGTTACCATTCGTCCGGATTTACCCGGACATGTCCTGCTTTTTGTGTTAAAAATAGCGTCCGGGGG